GGATTTTTGATTAACTCAAAACCAGAGAATGCCTGTGAACCCATAGTGCCTCCACCAGTAAAAGACAATTCGTCTGGCACTTTCATCGTGTTAATTAGAAGACTTGATTGTAATTTTGATATAAAGGTATGATTTTCTTTTTTCATTTTTTGTTTCCTATTTGTTTAGTTAGCTAATTTAAATTCTCCCTTGTTTCAGAAAAGATTTAAAATTTAAAAGCCAGTAAGATTGAAAATAAACAGGATACCTAGAATAAAAATAGCTTTACTGGTTCTAAGAATTTTCAGACATTTGTTGAGTTTCTTGAACAGTGATTTAATAGTGGAATCTTACTTGATCTCATCTAGGAATGAAAACTTAACTTCAACCTTTAGTTTTATGCTTTTACCCTTTCATTACCAATCCCAAACCTACGTCTATGCTGGTATCTACGTTGTCATTGAGGTTTCTCTTTTCTAATAAGTTAAATCTGCCCCTGTATAAAGTTTTATCTCTCTGACATGGGTTAAAATGACATTTCAGATAATAAAACAAGGTTTTCCCACCTTCCTCACTATGTATCTCCAGTGCTGCTCTAGATGTATGGTTTTTTAAAGTCTGTTTTTGAATTGGCATTGGCAAAGGAGCCACATTGAGGCCTATGTAAAATAAACTTTGATGTAACTTTTACTGAACTACCTCAGAGCTGAGTGTCATATAGTGTCTTGTATGTATCTCCCAGAATAGGATATAGGCTATTATTTTATGTCTGTTGATCTTAGATTATTTGTCTGTACAGCAGGAAAAGCCACCCTGTCACGCTGTGCATGAGTTTTCTCTGCAATTTTGAATAGATAGAAGAAATGACACCTCCATAATAAACTTATCAGAGGAATAAAATAATAAATGTAGAGGGATTTGAAAATGTATAGCACTTTGTAAATGATAGGTATTGTTACTACTTTATGTTAGTTCCAAATATAGACTCTCAATTGCCTTTAAATGGGAATAAATTACAGCTTGAAATCAAATGTAGTAGATTTCCTGCTCCTCAAAGTTGTTTATGATCGTTTGAATTTAACTATTTTATTCAGAACTAAACTATAATAATTATAGGTTGCTTCAGTTAAAATTGTGTTATTGTAATGTTTCATTAATTTTCTGCTAATTAAAAGTAAACTAATTCTATTGATCCCAAGGTTTACTACACTATTATGCTGTGTAATTCTGGACTCAATACAGTCTTTGATAATTAGAAACTAGAATACTTTGTTGTTGTTGTTATAACTTATCTTTATAGGCAGGGATGGGAGATGGTACACTTTGAAAATTAGGGAAATATTGTTATTGAATAACTGTTTTTGAAGATGAAACTGCAACTCAGGGATGAATACAGTAGACTTGTTAGCACTTCTGTCCCTTTAGTGGATCCTCATCAGGAGTCTGAGTAGTTCTAAAGGAGTTAAATGATTTAGTCATTACTCCAGCTCATCTCTTTTCACTGCGTGCCTTGAATTTTATGTTGCAGTCATACCATCTACTTAAACTGTCTCAACTGGCTGTGCCTTGCTGATCATACCTTTGTGCCTTTCTTTACATGTACTGTTTTCTCTGTCCAAGGTCTCTGTCTCCAGTGACCTTTACCACCCATTTATCTGTTTCATGAGTTACATGATAACAGGATGTTACCTACTCAGGAAGCCTTATTTTTCTTTCCACTTCCTCTGTTGCAGCACATATCATTTCAGTTTAATGTGCTATTATTTATGCTTTCACCCTTCCACTTTGTAAATACTTCCTTCATTGCTTTTTATCGCATTATTACTTTTTATTAAATGTATTTCTCACTTGTGAATTGATGGTGTTTAGAGTTCATGCTTTAATTGTATTTAGATATCCCATTTGTATTATAGTGCATGGTAAACAATCAAGGCTAATTAAATCAAACTATGTAATAGTAAACCTTTTGCTTATGTGATTAATCTTTAAAAACATGTACATATAAAAAAATATGGAAAAATGTTTCAGTTGAGCCATTCTTAAGTTAGAAAGGGAAATGTTAAAAAAAAATTTTCATTGTACTTTTCCATGTAGGCACAGTTTTAATGAATAAGGCTCTAGTCTGTTCTTTAACGTGGTTTTTTTTCCTCCACAAATATACAGTGGAGTACATTGTGGTCATTTAAGGCTAAAGATTCCTTATTTATGTCATTCCTAATGATTTCTGTCTTTGTTTCAGTTGTATAAATTTCTGGAACATCAGTTTACAAGGGAGACACAATGATTATAATCAAGGTCTGGAAACAGACTGCATATACTTCAATCTCATCTTTATCATTTATTGGCAGTATGATCTTGGACAAGTTATTTTACTTCTGTGTGCCTCAATTTCATTACCTGTAAAATAAGAATTAGAATGTTTCCTATATCATAGGATTGTTGGGAGGATCAAATGAACTAGTCAGTGTTAAATGCCTATCAAACAGTATCTTGCACACAGGAAGGAGGCAGTGGGTCTTAGCTCTTGATATTTTAACTATTGGAATTAAATAGAATAAGGGTAAAGATGGCAAAATTGCTGACTTTTCAGAAATTAAATTGATAAGTCACATGTGATATAGCTACTCAGTGTCCGCTGATGTATAAAATGTCTAATTTGGCTTATAAAGACAGTTTAGTTACGCCATTGTGGAATATATAAAATATGTTTCATAAATTTGTAATAGTAAGAATTATGGGTCACCTATCAAGGTAGTGTGACTGGGTAAGGATAAAGTCATTACGGTTACTGGAAAAACAACTGCAATCTCATCCTAAAGAAAGTTTCCTTTTTAGGGTGGTTCCTGATGGATAAGCTGTTAGCCTTATTAGTTGTAATTTTCATATCAGAAATCTCTGACTGCATTTAATGAGCTTCCAAAATGATGGCTACATACAGTTTTATATTAAGTGTGTTGTGGAATTTGGTCATCAATATTATGTACAGTACTTCTTTTCAGAATTGCAGGTAAATATCTCTTATAGATAATTAATTGTGGTTATTCATGCATATCCACAATTTTGTATGATGCATTGACTTAAAATAGTTAGAAAAATGATTTATTTCCTCATTTATTACATAGTTTACTAGGACTGAGTACTGAGGAAAACTTAATTCAGCACCATACGTAATACTACAATTGATAGTAGTGCAGGGTTATATTTTGGCATGCCTCTTATCCAAAGTGACATAGAAATTATCTCAGACAGAGGAAAATTGCCTCTGTCTTTTAAAGTTTTCCTTGGAGAAAGGAACTCTTTGTTATAGACCACAAAGAGAAAAGAAACAAGGAACAAAAATTTATCAAGATATTTCAGATGATTAATGTTGGTGGGTATTTCAGGATTTTTACAAGTCTTTTAGTTTTTTTTAAAAAGATTAAAGAAATTATACTTTTCTTATTTCTTCTTTAAAAAGAGCATGTGAAATGTGTGTTATAATTTTTTAAATGGCAGATTTTCTTCATACAAACCATCCCAAGTGATGTGTGACTCAGAGATAGCTACTAAAGCAGCAGAAATGCAATTGACAATTCCTGGAGGAAAGGGAATTGCTTTCCAAATAGAGAGAGCTGTTGTTTTAATTTTTTATCTTCTATTGAGAGAAGCACATATGAACCTTTTGATCTATGTTGCCCGGAGGAGATTTAGCAAAACCCATCCTCAGAATGAATGTGTGAATATGTGGAATATCCAAACAGCCAGTAAGAAGAACTATTGATTATATGTCAGGTGCTTATTCTCAAAGTAATCACTCATACTGACAAAAACTGTATCCTCTGAAAAATGCAGCTCTATAGAGGAAAAGCAAAACAGTGCTATTTTGTCTGTGTATGATGCTGTTCTTTACTGTGACAAAATATAATTGTTGGGAAAGATTAGATTTTGGCGAGCATTTGAAATTTAAAAAAACATTGTTGGCTCTTTGGTAAATAAATTAAGGCTATATTAAATCTTTTAATTAGAAAATTGGCTTGGAAGCATTCGGAGGGAGAGATTTCTCAGAAGGCTAGAATGCCAGGCATTTCAGTCAGAAATAATCTTTAAAAAAAAAAATCTGTAAAATACCTAGTAATTGAAAGGCCATTAAAATAATCATTTAAAATTGAACTTAGAGCTATACAATTTTCTGTGTCTATAACCGAATAAAGACAAGTTATAAAAAAAAAATTCTGTCCATTGTCATTTCAGTATAAGATACCTTCATTACTTGGCTATAATTGTAAGTCACCAATTTCTTCAAGTAGCCAATTTACTATATTTTAGCTGGACTTTAGGGAAGGCTAGTAAACAGAAATGGTGCAGCGTTTGCACTTTATTCAGCAGTGTGTGCTGAACCTTACTCTGTCTTATGTGCGAATGAGTATTTTTGAAAAATGCAGCTGCAAAGCCATCTAGGCCAGTTATCAAGGCTGAAAGGACTTAGATATTATTTTCCCTTCTCATACCTTTTTTTTTTTTTTTTTTTTTTTTTTTTTTGCCATGAATGGAGGTACATTTGGATCGTAGATGATAAGGGATATGTTGGGTATCTTCAGAGCTATTTTCTGCTATAATATGGCTTTTAAAAAACTTAACTGGGATACAGATACAAAACTTAACTGGGGTACTTTACCTGACTTCTGCCTCTCTCTCAAGTCTCATCTCTACTTTGCCACTCCTCCCACCTCGTAAGAATTTACAAGTCCCCATATGTGCTGAGCAGTCTCTCCCACTCTGTCTTAGTTTCTGTCATGTCCTCCATCTGGCATGTCTTCTTTCTGCTTGTCTATCTGACCAATCTGACTTTATTTTAGATCTATGATAAAGTGTCTCCTGTCTGAAACCTTCCCTGATTTTCTTCAAGGTAGAATTCATCATATATATATATATATATATATATATATATATATATATATATATGTATATATATTCATATATATATATACATACACACACACACACACACACACACACACACACACACACACATTTTTTTTTGAAATGGAGTTTTGCTCTTGTTGCCCAGGCTGGAGTGCAGTGGCATGATCTCAGCTCACTGCAACCTCCACCTCCTGGATTCAAGCAATTCTCCTGCTTTAGCCTCCCAAGTAGCTGGGATTATAGGC